AGCTATGTAAGGAACGTGGGCAATAAATCGGCGGACCAGGGTGTTTTTCGGGTGTTTCCATTTTAGACCCATCAAAAAGTCGGAGCACCCCTATCAACTCCTGGATCGACGACCCTCTCAAGAAGGAACACTTACGGGATTCATCCTTTCGTTCCAGTCCCCACTTGAACTTGAACTACACTTTCTCTTTTGCCTTCTGAGTTTACCTTTTTCTCTCTTTTACTTCACGTAACCGGCCCAGCAGGGTTTGCTAGGGCAGGATACGTGGGCATTAATTGGTTGGACTAGGTGTGATGCGGTCTTTGTTTTAGGTCCATCAGTATTTCAAAGTCTGCCGACTTCTGGTTCAACGACCGGCTGAAGAAGGAACCCTCACGGGATAATCCTATCGTTCCAGTCCCGCTTGAATTTGAACTTAAAGTCGCAAATTTCGCATCGGGAGGCCGGCAAACCATGATGTCTCGCACTTGGGAGGATACACTGCGGGAACCGGGACATAAGTTGATGATATTTAGCGTTATCAGATGAAATTTTACAAGTGAAAAAGGTGGATTTTAAATACGCACACCATAACAACGGGTCATTCTCCCCAAAAGGTGGGGAGGCTAGCTCTACGGCAATAACCACTTACGTAGATGGTTTATCATCAGGACCATTCATCGTGAGAAATGACTTATTTGCGCAAAGTGAGGAAAAGAACGATAGAGAGTAATGAATCAAAGTCACTGGAACGAGATCAGAATGAAAACTCAAAGTGCCGGACAGCGTGTTCCTGTCAGGGGGTCATCATTTGTTGGCTGGAGCCTGCGATACTAGTCGTTAAGGAATGACACTTAACAGACATTTAAACTACGGGACAGTATAGACAATGAAGGCGACAGAAACCGACGTATATTGTGCAGGCTACAAAAATAGGAAGCGAATCAGCCAGAAGGAGAAACGATGCAGCAAGACACTCACCTATCGGAACCCATCCTGATGGCGCACGACCGAGGGATGGTCGTGCCGACTTCCTTGAGGTAGCACTTAGCAACGTGCATAGCCTAAGGTGCACGAGTTGGGTCTACTTGTAGACAAATCTTGTCCCGACATACTTACTTTCACTGAAACGTGGTTGTCTCCTGATATCACGGACGGTGAGATATGTTTACCTGGCTACACGCTGCTTAGAACTGATCGCTCCGTTGGTCGCCAGGGTGGAGGCGTTGTACTCTATGTGAGCTATAACAGATGTGTTGAAGACCTGCACATTCCAGTCGTCGGATCAGACTGTTGAAGCCTTATCGGCTGCTTTGTGCACTTCATCTGCCCAGTTTACAGTTGCAGTGATATACAGAAGTCCTGGAAGTTCTTCCAGGGGGATACTTGACTTTATTCGCACTCATTCTGCGAATAAACGATTAGTTCTAGGGGATTTCAACCTCCCGAAAGTCTGTTGGGCCGATCTCTCTTGCAATTTGGCACCAGGAACATTCGGTGCAGATTTCCTTGAGCTGACTCTCCAAGTGCCTTTGCACCAGTTCGTGGACTTTCCCACTAGGTATATGGACAACCAAATACCATCTACTTTAGATCTGGTTTTCGCCAAGTCTCTCGACTCCGTGACTGACGTTTCGTACGGTGCACCTCTAGGGTCCAACGATCACGCATGTATATCCTTTCGATGTGCTCTTTCAAGGCACCAAGTGACCGCTGTTGAATTACTTCCGAATATTTGGTGGGCGGACTTTAGTGCAATGCGAACTAAGGCTTCAGTTCTGAACTGTGAGATCTCGATGGCTGACTCTGTCCAGTTAGCCTGGGATAAATTTAAGGCATACATTACGGAGGTTTCCACTTCCTATATTCCACTCATGAGGAAAAGAGGGTTAAGGGCACAGCCTCCATGGATAGATACCACAGGCAAGTACCTACTCAAGCAGCGGTTTAGATGCTGGTGAACCTACCAAGCAGCTCCATCAGCCAGTACCTATGATAGTTATCGAGAGATTAGAAATAAATGTAATCAAAATCTCAGAACTGCTCGTCTCCAATACGAGCAAGGTTTAGCGGACTCGGCCGCGGCTAATCCCAAGAAGTTTTTTGCTTACGTTAAAAGACGTAGCGGGGCAAAACTGTCTATACCAGCGTTATTGCGAGCAGACGGGACCCGTGCGCAAACCGACTATGAAAAGGCTTGTATACTTAGTGATCAGTATACTGGGGCCTTTGCTCGGGAGACCTCTTTACCACAGGTTGAATTGGTTTCAAGAGTTCCAGAGGATTCTTGCTTAGCTGAGTTTAGCATAACGGAGACTCAGGTCTTCGAGCTACTGCAAGGCATTAATCCCTCTAAAGCTTCCGGTCCTGATTCAATTCATCCGAAGCTGTTACATGAATTGGCCACTGAGCTGAGTGGTCCTCTTACGTGCGTGTTTTCAATATCGCTGGACAGCTGCATCCTACCTTCGGAATGTAAGGAGGCAATCATGCGTCCGATTTTTAAGGGCGGTGACAGCGCTCTGCCCGCGAACTACCGGCCTGTCAGTTTGACAAGCATAGTAGTCAAGTTGTTTGAAAAGCTGATAAGGGATTCAGTGGAGAACCACTTGAATAGATTCAACCTTCTCAGCTTTGCGCAGCATCCATTCCGCAAGGGATTTTCATGTCAGACTAATCTACTTGTAGCTCGTGAAAGCTGGGCCGAAGCGGTAGACAGTGGCCACGCTGTAAACGTGCTGTTCATGGACTTCTCGAAAGCTTTTGACACTGTTTCACATCTTCGGCTCTCACTGAAGTTGAGATCTTACAGGATATCTGGTCGCGCCCTTCAATGAGTATCTACATTGCTTGAGGGAAGGGAACAGTGCGTACGGGTGGGGCGTAGCCTTTCGCTCAGACAAGCTGTCCTTAGTGGCGTCCCGCAGGGCTCGGTATTGAGGCCATTGTTGTTCGCGATCTATGTAAATGACTTGCTGGGAGAGCTAGGGGTGTCATCACTAATGTTTGCTGACGACCTTAAGCTCTGGAATATTGTGGATATCCCGGGGGGTCCTGAGGCAATTCAGCATGCCTTGGATAGGCTCTGGGAATGGTCTGCCTTATGGTTGATGCCCATACATAGGGCCAAGTGCTCTGTTCTCCGAATCGGAGCTGCTAATCCTCCCACCCGATATGTTGTCGGCGGCGGTGAGCTCCCTGTTCTTACTCAGCAGGTTGATTTAGGGGTCCTACGCACATCAGCACTTCATTCTGGAGACAATTGGAAGAAGGCTGCTTGTCGAGGGTTTCATATGATGTAGTTTGTCTGCCGCTCTTTCGGAATCCTAACGGCCAATTTGTTTGTGAAGCTATTTTCGGCATTCGTCCGACCCCAACTGGAAAATTGTATTCAGGCTTGTCCACCATGTCTTAACCGAGACAAAATGGACTTGGAGAGGGTGTTACGAGTGGACACTCGGCTAGTGAATGGTCTACGTGGACAGACGTATCCTGAACGCTTGCTCAGTTTGGGTATGTACTCCATGCACTACCGAAGGATAAAAGGGGACCTGATTCTCACTTGTCGTATTTTGACAGGTAAGATTGGCCCGGGCTTGTCAGTGTTAGTTAGTCCCACTACGTTGCCTAATCTCCGGGGTCACCCCCTGAAACTGCATAAACCACGGTCTGATAAGATTAGGACGGAAACTCCTCTGTCGCGCCGAGTTATAGATCTCTGGGATTCTCTTCCACATCACGTGGTTAGGGAACCTACGATTAAGTGCTTTGCGCGCCAGCTCGATGTTCTTGGGTGGCAACATCAAACCTTTCCTTTTTCCTAACTGACTTACCTTCACTTTTCAGTTCATTTTTAAAGACTCAAATATGTTGATATTCCACTTGCTTAGCTCTTTCCACTTTCTCTTTTGCCTTCTGAGTTTACTTTTTACTTTTTCTTGCTTCACGTAACCGGCCCAACAGGGACTGCTAGGGCAGGATACGTGGGCATTAATTGGTTGGACAGGGTGTGATGCTGTCTTTGTTTTAGGTCCGTCAGTATTTCAAAGTCTGCCGACTTCTGGTTCAACGACCGGCTGAAGAAGGAACACTCACGGGATAATCCTATCGTTTCAGTCCCGCTTGAACTTGAACAGAACCTATTAAAACACCACTATGTGCGCTGACAGTGCTTGAGCTGAAGTCACCAACTTTAACACAGATGGTCCTCTTGCAAACGGATGGCTATCCATTCCAATAATTGGGATTGTATCTCAAACTGTCAGTTTTTCTTATAAGAAACGATGGTTAACGGAGCCCAAACCTTTGCTTAAGTCCACCAGAATCAGATTTATTAGGAACAAAAGGCAATATTTCCGTATCCGCTTCATCAAATGTGAACCAGATGTCATTCCGGGTACACCCTGGGTCCAGCGGTTGTGTAGTTGATGAGTGGTTAGAGTGCCGCTGTGACATCTTCATTATAGCACAGATCAGCAAAATACAAGTCCAAGCCTCTTTTTAATTGGTCGAGAGTTTCAGGTTGCGCAATCGCCGATGGCAGACGGTTTCAATAAGGCACAACTCCTCATTCAAAACAGTAAACATGCTTTACATTGTCCTATCGTATTACTTCTCGCTTGCATTGGTGCCCCTTGTAATGCTGGTTTCATTGATTTTAAACGGGACGAAGGGACGCAGCCGTAATACTCTAAAGACGGTTATGAGGTCCATTCTTATTCACCGGTATTCTAGAGTATGCAACTTTAATCGTCGACAACTGTCAGTGTAATCCACTGTCCGAAAAAGAGGAATCATCCGCGTAGCCAGCCGTTGCACCCTCTCAAGAGTTATTGCTTCTTCCCGCGTAACCGGAAGGTAAGTTGGTGCACCGTATTCCAAGAGGTCGTACTTGTGATGGGTAAACCTTGAACTAGTTCCTTCGTCCATTTATGGAAACTATTTTTTAGTGCCCAGCATACGCTTGAGCCTGATCAGTACGCCTTTTTGGTATGATCACATGACTTGAGGTCTCCGCGTGACAACACTCCCAGATCCCGGGCACTAGAAACTGCGGTTAGTTGTTTTTCTATTCAAGAAGTATGAACGTTCATGGCTGTCTGTCGATGCTCAGAAATTCGCATATGTAGAAGAAACAGGATAGGTTCGAACACTGTATCCTGAGGTACGCCACTCGGGAGGCAAGCCAATCAGTATAGTAATCATTTACTTTATCCTTCCAACGCCTTTCCTCAACGAACGAACTGATCCACTGAAAAAGAGCGCTACGGATCCAGTAAGTTCTAAGTCAGTTGAGCAGTTTGGTATGATCAACTCTGTCGAAAGCTTTCCTGAGATCAACCAGGATAACGTCAACGCTGACGTCATCATTTAACGCCCTCACCCAGTGTTGCCGGCCACAAGCAAATTCGGCACACATGAAGATTGGTTCAAAAACCCGTTTTGAGCTGTGTGGAGGATTCACCTATCACAACCACCTGCAATAGGACCTTCTTTACTATCCTCTCCAAGACGATAACAGCAGCAGCAGTACATCAGCCATTTGAACTGATACTTCGCTGCCATACAACAACGATGACTTATAAAACAAAGAATAGTAACAGGGAGAAAAGGGGGACTTACCGGAAAATCTCAATGCCCTAAGCAAACAATCAGAGCCAAGGCGCATAACCCTTGTGTAGACGACATACCGTTACAAACAGCTGGCTATCTTGCAAAGATAAGGCGGAATCAGCGAGACAGCTTCCTTGCGGCTTTCACTGCTCCACGTCATAATCAGCCATTACCTCGCAGATAACTCAGCACCAAACACTTTAAACAGGCATTCCGACTAGGAGCAGAGAGCAGACGCGCCACTGATGTCGGTTGCGAGCCATGTCCTGTAAAGCCTGAAGCCAAGCACAAGGCGAGTCAGATAAACTCCAGCCCCGAAGACGGGACGGACCAGCTGCACCCAGTTTGGTCGTCAGTGACTTCAGTTTCCGCTGCCAAGTCCACTTCTGTCCACCTCGAGCCTTGCGCCACCCTATACCTGTTAGACTAAACAAGGCCCTCCTTGGTAAGCGGTGACCAGGCATACGTAGTACGTGCTCAGGCCAACGCAACTTACTTAGTGCTATCTATTATTCTGGGGAGCTAGCATGACTATCACTGCCTAGTACTCGCCTACGCACATCATTTTTGCGGACACGCTGGTGCCATCTGACACTATCAATGCTTCGCAGATGATGATCATCGAAGGCTTAAAGGCGCCTCAGATCTTCAGATTGAAGGGGCCAAGTCTAACTCTCATACAGCAGGACGACCCTCACTGTGGCCTTGTATACAAGGCCTTTCAGACGGAGGGAAATTCCATTCTGTCGCCAAGGATGCGGCAGATTCAAGAAGGCAGCTCTGGCCTTTGCAATGCGTGAGCTGACTTCAGTTTCTATACGCCCACCGTTGCTGATGCAGCTGCCACATCGAGTTCCTCGTTGGCAAGGGTCAAGGGGTCATAAAGTGGCTGGTGGTCCTTCAACAACGCTGCAGTGTGAAAGTACGGAACGCATGCCAAATAATGGACCATTGTAGAAATGCTATTCAGGGTTGATTGTGCCGCTCCAACATCGTAGAAAAGCAAGGCGATGTCGTGCGCATCATCAAAATCAACTAATCTTTCACCAGGCAGTACATCAATGCCTGCACCGTGAGATTCCGCAAGGGAACACTCTATGATAAAATCCACGGTGAAATTGAACAAAACTGAAGAAATCGGACAACCATGACGATGGCCAGTTGTGGTCGAAAAGATATCTGATAGGCCCCGCTAGACCCTGACGCAGCCTGTAGTGTTCAAGTATAGAGCACGTAATGTGTTCACATATCTCGTGGGAACACCTTTCCGCGCAAGTATTTCGAACAGAATCGATCGATCGACCGAATCGAACACACTCTTGAAATCGAGGAACACAGCTATTGTTGGTCTGCGGTATGCGTGGCGCTGCTCTAGCATCTGCCGCAAAGTGAATATATGGTCCATACAGCCACGTCCTTGGCGGATACCTGCCTGCTCTTCCCTACTCCGAGATTCCCTTTCCACACTGGGGCGACGAACGGGAATCGACGCCGGTGATTTTGTCACACCTGACGTTAGGCTAATACGCCTGTGGTTAGAACAGCCTGTGCGACGATCTTTCGTGTATGTTGCCACTATAGTCGATCCGCTCCAGTTAGCCAGGATACCCTCTTCCTTCCAGATACGTTCGAATAGGGAGGTCAGTGCTTTGCAGAGAACCTCACCTCCTTCCTTAATTAGTGCAGGTGAGACGAAATCCGGGACGGCGGCACGAAAACGATTGAGGGTTGTGGGCGCGTTTCGGACCTCGGCCTCCGACGGAGGCTGTAAACTAACCGTTTATGGCTCGTGCTGCATCACCTGAGTAGGAAGAGGTCCGGGAGCAGGAGGCCAGCTGAACTGATTGTGAAAGTGTTCCTCCCAACGAGCCATATGGCGCTCCTTATTGTGTATCAGTGCACCCGCGCTGTCTCTGACTGTTCCACTGACGCGTGGTTTCCTGGGACCATTGGTACGGATGAGTTTGAAAAGCTAGCGATGATTGCCTACTACTCCTGCTTGCTCCATTTCTTAAGCCGGTCGGTCTACCAGGCTTCCTTATCAGCACGTTGTCTCCGCTTTAGTTCACGCCTAATAGCCCGTCTGGTCCCATTGTGCTCAGAGCCAGCCGAGAGGTTTCTTCTATATTCCAACAGGTTCACCAACCTTTTGGATATCCAGTGACTGGTGCGTTGACGATTGATAGTGCCAGAAGCAGCTGTTCCTGCGTCGTGCATTGCGGCTGAGGTTCTATTTCATTGAAACTCAGTGTCATTATAGCAAGGTAGTTTGGTATGCAGTGCGTCTTGTTAGGCTTGCCTGACCGAGGACTGAGACAATTTCTCAGTTGCCAATCGCAGGAGACGCTTGATGCGCCTCTTGATAAAGTTCAAGGAGAAGCGACAGCGTACCAAGGCATGATCAGAGTCGACACAGGTACTCCAATACGAGCGGCAATACAGGATGGAACCACGCAACCTGTAACTTATGTCATATGGTGTATTTGGGTCCATCGTTGGCCAGCTACAGCAGGACGCCAAGTAGCATTTCGGCGCTCACTGTGTCTAAAAGCAGTGCTACTACGAAACAACTGGTGATCCGCACACAGTTGCAGCAGACGCTCGTTGTAGTCAGTCCGTTCGGAGCTAAGCCCATAATTACCACCCAGCTGAGTTTCTGAAGAGCTAAGACGCCCTACTTGTGCGTTTGTATCCCTTACAAGTACTATGATATCTTATCTAGTGTCCCTGCGTAGTAGCCCGTTCAGTTCGTGATGGAATGTGTCCTCGACAGCGTTTGAACTGCAGTCGATGGGAGCACAAGCGGAAATCATGAAAAACCAACTTTTTGTACTACTTCGTAGAACCACCTTGGTTGATGTCGTCAATCGTGCTGGACATCAACGGCCGTTCACCGGAATCCAGTCGACCAACAATGGCTCAGCCTTGGAACTTAGAATGATGCGTGCAACCAATAACGAGAGGATAAGCGGGGTGCAGTTAATTCAACAACCGCATTAGGGTCATTGATCCTAGTTTCGGACACACAACATACATCATTACCCGGTGTGTCCAAGGTGCGTACAATTTCAGTCTGTTGAACGTTGGAATGGAAACGGGATAGCGTGGCCTTATAATGGACTTTTGCCGATAGGTGCTGTGGGATGGTGGCTGCAGATGGTTCTACTCCAGTGGCACTTCTGTTGCTGTCAGTTAAGCTGGGAATTATAGGTAGGTTAATAATGGGGGTCGGGATGGGAGTTAGAGAAACAGGTAAGAAAAGAAAGAAAGGAGGCGCCAGCAGTAGCATGTTTTCGCTTATCCGCCCTGCTGTATGCAGCCGATAACGTGACTTGATAGTCTGCGCGACGGCCGATGCAGAATACAGTGAGAGTTTGGGGAAATTGACATAGTTGTGTGGGCTGGAATACTGCCAGTGCGCCCAGACCTAGACAGGAGGACGATTGAGGTCCTCATTCAAAGGCTTTGTCTCAAAGGCATGTCCACAAGATATCGGGGAAGTGGCAGTGATTCAGTTTTAAAGAAGTGTACGCCATCCCATTTCAAACCCCCAATCTGGAGGACCAGGAAGCTGAGTTTGTCTGACCTCTCACCATAGACCAACCTTGTAGGATTTAAAGAAGCCCATAAAGATAATCAAAAGTCAATGTTATCGAACTTATGTTTTCGATAATTCTTAATCAGGCTAGTACCATTATGTATCATGTACATCGATTAGACAGACTACTAAGTCGTTAAAACGTGTTGGTAACGAGACTCGATAACGGGCTATTACAACGCTACGTATATAGAAAAAGCTCGTGGAGCGGCCAGTACACCAATTTCCACAGCTTCGTGCCACTTAGGCTGAAACGGAATTTAATTCATAATCTGCTCGCATGATACACTGTCAGTTGAACTAAAGCGAATAGGCTCGTTGTTGCGGGAAAATGGTTCTCCAGAAAACTTCATAAAAGTCCACCTGGAGAAGAGTATAAACACACCGGTTGTTTTAACAGGTAACAGAAAGGCGCTTTCCTTACAACTCCTTTACAAAGGGGCAATCGCTGCTGAAATTCTTAATCGCCGTCTATCACAGGAGCTTAGACGGACGTTCCCAGCAGCCAAATTACATACCTACTTTACGGGCACACCGGTGGTGAAGCTCAGTCTCAAGGATAGTAGATATGTCCATGACAACTCTATGTGCATTTATTTTACCTGTTCCTGTGGTTCAGGATACATTGGTCATACGACTAGGTGTCTATCCTAGAGAATGAAAGAACACTGTCCGGTATGGCTAGCGACCGGATGCAGAAGGGTAACTCAGCCATAGCCGCCCACCTTGCCGGCACAGGCCACAACCCTAGGCCAGCCGAAGCATTCCAAATTATCCACAAGGCCCCGGATAATCGATCGAAGTATATCCGCAGACGGATACTAGAAGCCACTGAAGCTATAGCAATCCGGTTGTTCGAACCCAAGTTGTGCACTCAAAAGCGATTTGTTCAAGTCTTACAACTGCCCTGGCCCCATCAAGTAGTGGTTTTTACTGAGTTGGATCGTATGAAGACTCGGACATTGACATGATTATTGGCGAGAGTCGACCACTTGTAAATTGATTTTACCCCGTTTTAACGACTTAGTAGTTTGTCAAATCGATGTACATGATATATAATTGTA